CACACACGCCTGCCGACTGGTAGGCATACAGCTGCTCACTAAGTATGAATCAGTCACTGGTAAGTTCTCTTTGTGTTTGTGATGTTTGAAATAGTTTGCTGAATGTAACTTTAACTGACAGACCATGAAATAAATTGTTATTTATAAATTAGTATAAATATATCTGTCAGGGCGTGGACCTTTTCTGGTTATGAGTGTGAACAGATAATAGAAAACATAGTACAATGTTTAAGCGACGCTTAGAAATACAGTTAACTTTAAGTGTGCCGTTTCACAGATCACTACATCTGACAGTGCAAATCTAAGACGGAATGAAAGTCTGAAGAGGTTTTTTATATTTCTTTGCGTCATTACAATTGTACTGATACTCACAAAGGTAATGAAGATTTTCTTTGAATTAAATAGGACAAAGCTATGTCGCTATTATTGTTGTTGTTGTTGTTGTTGTTGTGTCACTCTACTTGATGGGGCAAAAATACTTAGTAATGACTCAGTTACTATAGAAATTAAAATCATGAACAAACATGAATTCAGTATTTCACTTGTTATTCATTAGTTGTTCCTTCAGGAGTTCTGTACTAGTTCATTAGTAGTTCTTTCAGTAATTCACAAAGGTTTGCATAATTGATAGATATAGTAACAACTATAGTAGATAAAAGATGCATCATGATTTATTAATGGTGAACAAATATGAGATTTAACTTGTGTTATTCATGACTTGTTCCTTCAGTAGTTCAAAAAGGTTTACAAATTTAACAAATATAGTAACAGATATAGTAATAAATATAGTAACTGCTTGACAAAAAACACGCATCACGATCCATTAATGACAAATTAACATGAGATCAGTATGTAACTAAGACTTAATTTAAAGTTAATTAATACATAAGTAATAGCATGATACTATATTATTTGTGCTCCGTCAATTAAAATGGTTCCGTTAGTATTGTTGCTGTTGTTGCTTCTGCTGCGTACAGCCTATCTGTGAATCTTGTTTCTCTTTCGCCCTACTGAAAATGGTATCATTGCCATGGCTAATTTAACTCAGAAACGTTTTGGTGACTATGAAGAAGCCAGTCAGTTACTCGCTGTAACTCTTACCTGTACTGCAAAAGAACAGAAACTGGCAATAATAGGCTGGAACATGAAAGGGATAAACAATGAATTTTTCATTATTTTTTCAAATGTAGAGACACTTAACAAGCAGCATCCACCGATTGCCAAGCATCGCAAGTGTTCCACATCCGGAGATGACTGTAGAGGATGTGATGCTCTCCCTCTGGTGGGATCTCCCTCCAACATCTGTCTGGGAGTCTGTCCAGAACACCTCCAGTCCTGCTCAGAGCACAGCCAGTCTGGAGCATCTCCAAGCCCAGTACTGTATGGGAGACACCTTAGATGTGCGTGTGGACATGCGGGACCACAGTGGGAGGCCCAAGACTCATGGAGGAGACTTCATATTGGCCCGGATTCACTCCCCCAAACTACAGGCCTCTGCCGCAGGAGCCGTCACTGACCTCCGCAACGGCTCCTACCGTGTCCGCTTCACCCTGCTCTGGCCTGGGGAGGTGCAAGTCTCTGTGCTCCTCATGCACTCCTCTGAGGCGGTGCAGGCCCTGTGGAGGTCCAGGCAGCTCAACTACAAGAAGATCACACACGTAGGAACCTTTGTCAATGGGAGCAAAACTGAGACGTCTGAGTGCGGCTTCCAGCTGAACGCGAGTAAATCCCTGTGCGAGTACAAAGACGAGAGGGACGGAGAATCCTACGCCTGTTACATACCCCCAACCCTGCCCTGTCACTCGATTGACACCATGTCTTCATTCAACACTCAAGGATCTCCACTCACCAAGGAGGAAGCTTCTCTACTGACCGGGTAAAACAGACTCTGTGTTGAAGTCAACAGAGCTACTCTTCTTGTGGCTTCCAGAGTAATTTCCTCCAAGGCTTTCAGCCTTATGCTTATGGCTGTTATGCATTTTTTCTTTAAGGAATAATATTGGGGTGAAGATAAAGAACAACTTTGGCAATCTGAATGTCAGCAACTGTTCTGGTAAAACGTACTTCTGTTTAGTTTTCAGTCCATGCTTCCCACACTATTTTTTTAATTATATGTCAAGAATTATTAATTTTGTTAGAGTTTCAGGTACACATGAATAATCTTCAGCAAATTATAACGGTAATGCATAAATACTGAATTTCGTTGTCACGTATTTTATAAATAGCCTTTGTGATTAGGCATTTCAAGCTAATTTTCAAAGAAAATTTGGAACGACAGTGTGGCTAATTTTATCTCAATTTTCTCCGCTCTTTCTAGTTGGCCCAAATGAAATGGGTAGGGATTGTGTTCAGAGAATCAGTCCCAGCATCCCGAGTGGTTATTACTGGAGAAACCAGTGGTCTTCTTTGTACCATCAAACTGGCAGCTTCTTCACTCTGGAGTCCATCAACAGCTGCCTGAAGGGAAAGACACTCTACCTTATGGGAGACTCTACTATGCGTCAGTGGATAGAGTTTATGAACAGCTTTCAAAACGGTCAGTCCTCACAACCATTAAACTTGTAGATGTAGAATACTTTTTCCCCTTTTGTTGATTTTTATTAATATCTTCTTTCTTCCCTGCTGATGTACACATTGCAAGTCTGCTAAGATGGAAAGCTGATTAACACATGATTATAGTGCATGGAAACTTTACTCCTAATTAAGGAAAACAAGTAAATGTTTGACATGCTTATTGGTGAATCACAGTAATTGATGTTTTTCCCATCATAGTTGCTCTTAGAAATGTTTGTTAACCTTCAATTTGCAGATAAAAGCAAAGACTACCGTGGCTTTTCCCTCATAAAGATTGTTAACATCAAGAGCAACTACACCGTCTACTGGAGAAATCACGGTCATCCCAGGATTACAGTTAGTAAAATTAAACTCATCGAGGCTCCCTATATTTCCCGGGATTTGGATGCTATCGGAGCAGAGGGAGAGGACACAGTGGTGGTGATCGGAGTGGGGCAGCACTTCCGGGCCTACCCCCTGGAGCTCTTTGTCCGCAGGTTGCTGAGCCTGCGGGGGGCCATCCAGAGGCTGCAGGCCCGCAGTCCCGGGACCCGCATCTTCATCAAGCTGGAGAACACCAGGGAGCTCTCCTCAGAACCAGAACGCTTTAGCGACTGGCACGGACACCTGCAGAACCTGGCTCAGAGGAAGGTGTTCGGGGACCTGGAGGTGGGGTTTGTGGATGCCTGGGAGATGACAGTGGCTGCCAACACCTTTGTCATCCACCCTAACCCAACCATCATTGCCAGTGAGGTGGCGGAGTTTCTGTCCCGTCTCTGTCATACTCCACAGGATACCAGTGTCAGACCAAGGTCATTCAACTTGTTGCTTCTCAGCCAGTTAACACACAAAATATTCCGTGATTAATCCCTTCCGTTTTTCCTGTGCTAAAACTTACACACTGCACTATTTCTGTTACGTTCAAATACAAAAAGAATTAGATTTTTGAACCATATTCTGACACCTCAAGATTTTCTTTACTGAACATTCCCATAATATCCACTTGTCCTCTGATAGCTTTCTGCAAAGTCTGCTTCATTTCTGAACCATTTTATATCTACATGATTTTTGCCAGTTAAACTTCTGCCATATCCGTTTTCAGCTGGGGACAGGCAACTGTGTGTATCAGGAGGAAAGCTGCTTGCAAGGTGTGGCATATCGGAAACCTTTGAGCAGAGCTGGATTGGCCATCTGGCATAGTGGGTATTTTCCCGGTATGACCCCCCCCACCCCCTCCAATGGAGGACTATCTGCCAATTTTTAATCCCAGTTGAGTTCAGCCCTACCTTTTAAAGTACATGTTTATTCCAGCTCCTGGAATTGGGGTGGGAACATGTTTAGAAAACAGGTTTTGCCGTAACCCGTGCCCACAAAATGTGTTTCACATGCATGGGTTATCACCGAAGCAAGGTGTGAAGAGAAGTACTCTGGAACTTGGAACCTCACTTTAAATATTCATGTATATTATATGTTCTTGTATGAATGCTCAGCTGATGATATCAGACGCCCAGGGCTTTTGTGACAGGTAGTTGTCCACTCTGTACAGAACAAAGATGTATGCAAAGCAATGTTGTACTGTAATAGATTTTAATTTAATCCTTTTTTTGTAAGTACATCCACCGATCTTCCATAACGTCTTAAGCCTGAAGCCTATTCCGTGAAGCACAGGGCACCGTGTAGGGGTCACAATGGATGGGATACCAATCATAAGTATAAAAATCACATAACACAAGGCTTTGAAGCTGTAAACAGAATTTACAACCTCCATTTATGAATTTTGTAAATTTCAGCTGCAAACCTAATGACTTCTATTAATCTTTCCAGCTGCTTATCCAATATAGGGCTGTGGGCAACTAATTATATTAAATCGATAATTCGAAAAAAGATACCAGATCATGAGATTTCCAGCCCTGTTGCAAAACCACAGAAATTTCATATAGTAAACTGAGTAAAGCCAGAAATGATACCGCCCCAGTAATGATATCTGATAGCCCTTGTTTTTCCAGATGATGAGGTCAGAGCTACACAAATATAACTGTCCAAAAGATGAGCTGGTGGCCATTAGCATACCATAGCAGAAAAGGCTAATGGTACAAAAGTCTGCAGGAAGGCAGTCCTGGCCCTGAAGGGCTTCTCAACTGTAGTGCTGGCCTCTGTGGGTGCACAATGACCACGGTAGCCATCTTTCTGGGTGTCCAAACAGGCGATCTCAGCTGGTTACGTAACTTTCAGGTTTCAGGAGGGCATCTTCCTACTCGGCGATGCTTGGAAACTCTTTCCGGAGAACTTTGCATGGTTTCTGGGAGACTGGATGTGCTGTAGTGTGGGTACCTAACGTCCAGCCCAAGGCAGACTCGCGTCATCAATACTTGGGCCGAACAGATTCCTGCAGATGATGGTCACAGAGAGAGTCAAGAAACTCATGTCACAGCAGAACCCTGTACCAGAACAAGATCATTCACAGCACTGTATCGTTTTCTGTTATTCCATAGACACAACAAAACAGTGTAGTTACAGTGGCAAGAAAAAGTATGTGAACTGTTTTCAATTACCTGCATTTATATAGTAAATGGACAAAAGTATTCGCACACCTGACCATTATACATGCAGCAACTTTTATGACATCCCGTTAAATCCATAGACACCAATATGGAGTTGGTCCCCCCTCCTACAGCTATCACAGTTGCCACTCTTCTGGGGAGGCTTTCCAAAAGGTTTTGGAATGTGTCTGTGGGAATTTTTGCCCATTCATCCAGACGAGCATTTGTGAGATCAAGCACTGATGTGGGGCATGAAGGCCTGGCAAGCAATCTCCATTCTAGTTCATCCCGAAGATGTTTGATGGGCTCCTTGTGGTCCAGGCAAGTTCTTCCACACCAAACTTACCCAACAATGTCTTTATGGACCTTGCTTTGTGCACTGGGGCAGAGTCATGCTGGGAGCGTAAATGGCCATCCCCCAAACTGTTCTGACAAAGTTGGAAGCATAGAATGGTCCAAAATGTTTTGGTCTGCTGAAGCATTAAGAATTCCATTTACTGGAGCTAAGGAGCCAAGCCCAACCCCTGACAAACCAACACATACCATTATCCCTCCTCCAACAAACTTTACAGTTGGCATAATGCAGTCAAGCAAGTAATATTCTGTTGGAATCTGTCAAACCCAGACTCATTCATCACTGCCAGACAGAAAAGCGTGAATAGTCACTCCACAGAACACGTTTCGACTGCTCCAGAGCCCAGTGGTCCTGCATCTGACGCTTGGCACTGCACTTGGGGATGTGAGGCTTGCATGCAGTTGCTCACCATGGAAGCCCATTCCGTGATGCTTCGGTCGTATAGTTTTTGAACCAGGATTAATTTCAGATGAAGTTTCGAACTCTACAGTTATTGCGTCAACAGAGCACTGTGCCTCAGCACTCAGCGACCCCGCTCTGTAACTTTACATGGTCTGCCACTTCGTAGCTGAATTTCTGTTGTTCATAAACACTTCCACTTAACAATAATACCACTTACATTTGATAGTGGAATATCTAACAGGGTAGAAATTTCATGAACTGACTCATTGCAAAGGTGGCATCCTATGACAGTACCATGCTTGAATTCACTGAATTTTTCAGAATGACCCATTCATTCACAAATGTTCGCAAACCTGACTGCATGGTTAGGTGCTTGATTTTACACATCTGTGGTAATGGGTCTGAATGAAACACCTGAATTCAATGATTAAAAGGTGTGTCCCAGTACTTTTGTCCATATAGTGTATTTAAATTTGGCTTAAAATATAAATTTGGCTTAAAAGCTACAATAATAAACAATCACAATCTGTTTTAACTAATAAGACACTAATTATTGTATTGTTCTTGTACATATTGAATTCATCATTCAAAAATTCACAATGTAGGTTGGGAAACAGTATGTGAAACCCCCCCCCCCCCCCGTCTAATGACTTCATCTAAAGCCCAATGGAGTCGGAAGTCAGCAAACCCAGAGCCCAATCAGTGAAGCAGGATTTCAAGGTATGGGTTATAGCCAGGGATTGACATAAATGGTACGCAAGTACGCATTCACTTTTAAAAGCGATACGTGTGGCAATCGATTGTTGTAACAGCGCGAAAATGTATGTATTTTATGTGCATTTGCGCCGATATGACAAGAAATTATCGTGCATTTTAACCTTTATATGCTAATTCGTACAGTACTTCATTTGCGGTATAGAGGATAAAATGCAAAGTCCTCTCCCTACTCTCCCTAGAAGTGGGAGCAGCATATTCTCAACGAGGTAACAAAGAACCTTAGAGTAACAGTGACAGGCTTGAAGGAATTATTGGAATTGGTTAACTGTTAACATAAAGCGCTGAACAGACATGGAGTCGATGGCAGGACTCCGCCGATGAAACAAGGTTCAGGAAGAATATGCAGCACTACATATGGTACTGTGGAGCAGCATTTGAAGGGTGGCAGCCACAAACCAAGGACTGGAAATTGAACATGCACACTTTATTTACTGTTATTCTACATACAAAAATGTTTACTCAATCAAAGTGGAAAAAATATTATACAGTATGTATACTATTTACATGACTCTTCCAAACTGCACTAACCTGAATAATAGTTTGCTCACAATACACCTAGTCGCCTCTCCTTCCAAACCCATACTGAGCTGTTATATAGGTTTAAAAAGAAAACATCGTAAGGGTGCATGAGACCAGATGCGTGCAAAAATGCCCTTAAACACTGAACGATTGCGCCCGCACAGTTTCCATTCATGAGGTAAGTAACAATTTTCACTTTTAAACACCTTAAACCTAATCATGCACAGACATGAACATGAGGGGAAAAAACACAGATTAACAGTGAAATAGTGTAGCATAGTGGCATAGCTTTTGTTAAAACAACAGGACCGTTATATTTCCCTGTTCTTTGCATACTCAGACAGTGCCGCTACAACACTAAATGCAGATAGTTTGCTGTGTATTTATAAAAACATTTCATTTAATGCTTAGTTGCTGATAAAGGGGGGTAAATATCGGATTGGTATCGGCAGATATTCAAAATTTTAATATCAGAATAGGACCATCATCTCTAATGAAAATGCATTACATCAATAATGATTTAAAATAAACGTTAAGTGAATGTGGTGAATGTATGATTACTGTGTGTGATGTAATGTCTATGGAATAGGAGGGCGTGTATAATTAGTCAGAACTATTATAGAAGAATCAATCTGTTACAGGCACAAATAAGGGCATCACATCCCGACATGAAAACATCATCCCAGCAGGGAAGTTGGGTGGAAGGAACGTTATGATTTGGGGCTGCTTTGCTGACTCAAGGCCTGGGCAGATCGCCATTATCGAGGGCAAAATGAAATCCCGATATGATCTTGTTATCCTGTAAGGTCATGGTGGCTGTCCACCAGCTTAAGCTCAGTAGAAGCTGAGTAATGCAGCAGGACCATGACCCTAAACATAGAAGCAATTGTACTACTAAATGGCTTCAAAAAGAATGATATCTGTTTGGAGTGTCCCAGTCAGAGTCCCGACCTTAACCCAGTGAAGACCCTGTAAAATGTCATCAAGGGAGCCACTCACACCAGCCACCCTAAGAATATGGCTGAGCTGAACCAGTTCCATAAGGAAGAATGAAAGGAAATTCCCCCTGAACGTTGTGTACATCTCATCTGCAGTTACTGGAAGGACTTGGTTGAGGTTATTGCTGTCAAAGTAGGTTTGACCAATTATTAAATTCAAGGGTTGACTTACTTTTTTCCCACAGCACTATGAATGTTTATTGGATATGTTCAATAAAGACAAGTGTTATTATCTTAAGCACATTATATTTGTCTATACTTACTAACTTAGATTAACTAATATAGATTAAGATCGGATTATGTAACATTTTCTGGCCAAGTAATGCAGAAAACCAGGTAATTCTAAAGGGTTCACATACTTTTTTGTGCTTTTTGACACTGGATGCTTAATAGTGTACCGGACAGACACGGATTGGTGTCCACTCACCACAGTCAGGTGCCCATTTTTAGCCCTGTACACCATGGATTCTTGGCCGCTGTTGAAGTCCACGTAGCCCACCCTGTCTGGATGGATGTCAAACCTGACACTGTAGAGCAATAGCAATCAGATCTCGGCCCCCAAAATAGCGCGGGCCCCTGCCCCCCTGGGACGAGAAGCTCACCTGTCCTTCACCACTCTGATGGCGCTGACTTTGTTGGCCTCAACACTCAGCTTAGTGATCACCTCAAACAAGGAGTCGCACTGCAAGACTACGTCACCCTGCAGACACAAGCACGGCTCATGAGTGAGGTGCACAAGGGAGCCGAGGCCAAACCTAAAGCGCCACACATTGAAGTTACTTTCAGTTCTGGAGAGGAGCTCAGTTCACTGCATATAACCTCCAAATAATTTCCGCTGCACCCTGTAAAACATGATCCAGTCTGAAATTCCCCCATAGCCAAGTTTGCCGATGGCCAACAAACAAATAATTCATTTCACAAACCAGTTCATTAGTTTGCCTTATTCACAGTAATCAAAATACAGTAACATGATTCACTCTAGACAGACATGAACAAAAATAAATTAACGGGATTATTTTTAAGAAAGCATGAAGAGTTGAAATGTTGGAAGAACCAAGATGTACAAGCATGCAGACTGTTTGGCCGGTGTAGCAGTTTGCCTGTTATACCGACACAGACTCTGCCAACCTTCTGTTTGAGGTCATCACAGGTGACGTGCAGGACCAGGAAGTTGTCACTCAGGTGGCTGACAGACACCCCTGCAAACACATACAGCAGGTAACATTTGCCCCAGTGTCCCTTCAGTTGATCCAGAAGTAATGTAATTCAGAGCAGATGCTAACAGAAAAACTAGTAAACATCAGCACAAGCTGAGGTGAATCACTATTATTAAAAAGACAGCTATGTGATACACAAACGCAGCTGTGCCTGTGACCTTTGAGGGAGCCGTATTCCACCCGCTGCTTGACCCTGGATTCCTCCACCAGGTAGACTGCGGCCTGAGTGAGAATCAACTGCCTGTGCCGGGGCCTGAACCCATTTCGGTCGTACTTCACCACCGGGGCGGCGTACTGCAGACAGAGCAATGGAATACAACAGCACGCGAGCGACAGGTTAAATGAAGCAATGATAGCAGATAATGAGGGGACAGTGAGACGGAATTCGGTGAGGAGAGTGAATAAGCTTATACTGACCATTAAAATGCATTATGAAGGTATCTATAGTGCACTATAGATGAGAGCTTCATAGAGCATTCATAATGCTTAATAAATGTCACGCCCCGCTCCGTCCGCTCCCGATGTGTGCCACGCCCACCTCATTACCTCCTGTTTCGCCCTAATTGTTCCCACCTGTAGCTCGTTATCTGTTGCCTAGTCCTGTGTATTTAGTCCGAGTCTCAGTCTGTTTCCCCAGATCTGTCATCGTTGTATGGTCCGTCGTTGTCTGCACCTGTCCTTTTGCCTTTAATAAACCCTTCACCGGATCTTTTGGCTTCGTTCGCCTGCTTCCGTGCTCGCGTTCACCTCCGAGGCTGACAGAATGACAGATCTCCCGGAAAGCATGAAGCAGCAGTCCGAGCACCACCGGCTCGGACTGCTGCAGGACTTCATGTACTGGCATGCGCAGCCCGAGGTGCAGGAGGACCCGCTAGCCCTGGAGCTGGCTAGCCGGGGCTGGGACCTGCTCCGGAAGGAGCGCCCGCCGGGGCAGGAGTACCCTCTGGGTAAAGCCCGGAAATGCCTCCGTCGGCTACAACGCCGGCTCGCCGAGCGTGGGGAGAAGCAACAGGAGGAGACTCCGTCGCTCTTCTTAGGAGCTTGCTATCTCCTCCCCGCCTTTGAAGACACCAGCGCTACGAGCCTGGCCAGCTCGCTTCCGGAGCAGCCCCCTCCGATGGAGGCTTATGACTATCGGCCGGAGCGTCTGGGGCAAGGCGGAATTCGCGCCGCGAGAGACGGCATTCCCTGGGTTCCCAAAGCCCTGAAAGGGAGGGCGCCCACGCGCTCAGCACCCTTCCTGCCGGCTCCGGACCTGCGTGTTCCGGCTGTGCGTTGGACGGCACCGCCGGCTGCTGATGCCGCCGCACTGCCCGCGGCACCGCCGGCTGCTGATGCCGCCGCACTGCCCGCGGCACCGCCGGCTGCTGATGCCGCCGCACTGCCCGCGGCACCGCCGGCTGCTGATGGCGCCCCACCGC